GTCTCTCCCAGGTTTAAAATGATGCTAGCCTCATAGAATGAGTTACAGAGGAGACCCTCCTCCTCAATTTTTTTTTAAATAATTTCAGTATTGGTACCAGCTCCTTTTTTCAGGTTGAATTTGGCTGCGAAATTCTCTGGCTCAGGGCCTTTTCAGGTTGTAGGCTTTTTGATACTGATTCAATTTTGGAACTCATTAATCTACTCTGGATTTCAATTTCTCCCTGGTTCGATCTTGGGAGGTTGTATGGTTCCAGGAATTTATCCGTTTCTGCTGGGTTTGTGTGCATAGAGGTATTTATAATAGTCCCTTAGGGTTTTTTGTATTTCTGTGGGGTCAGTGGTAATGTCACCTTTGTCATTTCTGAGAAAGACTTTTTTTAAAGAATTTCATAACATTCTTTGAAATATTAACAGATACTCTAAGGTGTTGCAAACAGAGGATTAGAAACCACCATTGTAGATATAAGATTCTACTTTGCAAATATGCTATTTTTGTCTAAGGCCTACTGATGTTACTTTCTCAAAATGTACACATTCTTTTTTTATTTTTTCTCACTCCTGTTGACATAGACTTTGTTCCTCATATAAGGTGCAATAAAACATTCTTCTATTTGGCTTATTTCTCTATATTCCGGAGCTCTTCTGATGACATATATACCATTTTACTTATAGATGTTATACTAATTAACTAATTTGTATCATGTCAAATTATTTTCTACAATCTCTACCTTATGGCTCAGGACATACAAATAGGAAGAGAGGAAGTCAAACTAATCTCTACCAGAGGTCTTTATACTAACAGTTGAAAGATAACTGTCATTATATATCTGGTATTCCAAACTATTAAACCAGAATCACTCACACTGGAAACAAATGTATTATCAAAGATTAAATGTTAGTGTAGAATATACATAGACATAACCCAAATCATTGGAGAAAGTGTCCAAGAGTGTAAATTTCATTTAATATTCATCTAAACATTCATTCAAAGAAACACTTGAACTTACTTATACTGAAGGTAGAAAAACAACTTGCTTAAAGTTTTTGCTACACGGAAAGAGTCAATTTGGTAATAACTGAGTGAGTCAAGGCATGTAGAGAAGGCAAACTGAAGATGGAGAGAATCCACACTGGGTGAACAAGCTGAGCAAAGGTGTAGGGCCAGAGCCTCATAGGCATTGCAGAAAGTGAGAGGATTAGAGAAATCAAAAACAAATGAGAAGTGTTGAAAAGTAATAAGAGAGGAAGTACTGTGTGGTAAGATAATGAAGACATTTGAGTTACTAGCTCTAAAAAAAGGAACTCAGGTAGCGGTCTTAAATTTAAGTTTGTGATGCTGTATTGAGGTGAGATTTGTCTGTGTGTATTGTTCTTTTTCAGAGCATTTTAAGTTTAGCTCAAGAGAGTAGTATGAATTGGAATTTTAGAAAAAGTAGAATAGCTAAATGCCAATTCATTAGAATAGTTATATAATGTTGATGTATTTATGGATAAACCTTGTTAGCAAAAGGGAGAGAGACAGGAGTCAAGAAAAATCCTGTGCACAGGAGGTGGATTACTTACACTTTGTTTGGAAAAACAAGACAGCCTTCCTTGTTCTCATTTGATGTAGCCATCCTTTCCACTTTCCCAGGGGAGAAATAATGTGGTTCATCAGACCAAAATCCATGAGCAGAGGTCTAACGTGATGATGATCCTGTGACTCTTGGCTCCTGCCAAATATGAGTGCAATCTAATTGCACTAAGACTTGTTCAACGCTCCTTCCCAACTAAGTGTTGGAAATAAGCTAGCTGTGCTTGGATTCGTTGTGAGACTTGATAGCCTTCTAGGGTAGCAGAATACGTGTTTGATTTACGTTGGTTCCATTTTATTGAGCAGGATGGAGTAACTCTAGAGTTCATTTAGGCGAATTATTAACAAGGGAAAAAATTGGCTTTGACAAAATCTGTGTTTTATTTGAAGTATAAATCATCTTATCAAAACCTGGCGAAGCTCGAACAAAACACTAGCAGTTGGCACCAACTTGAGCATTATGATCCGTGGTGTGGCCACTCCTTACCCTTTTGGACAATGACTAAGTTCTCAATGAGGAAAGCAGTGCAGTGCAGCCCAGTGAGTACCCAAGATCCAGTTTTGACCCTACTTTTAACATGCTGGGTGCCTCAATTTCCTCATTTGGAGGAATGGTACTAGATGATTTGTAAGGTCCCTTTTCGATTTTGGATAGGCCACTCAGTATCTCTGGGTATTAATTTTGCTACAGCATAACAATAGCCGTCTGAGGTTCAAGAAGTTTATAAAAATTTCATCAAGTTCTTGGAAAGTAAAAAGTACTCTGCACATACATGGAAACTATAATCTTAGCTGTTGAGTATGAATAATCCCCACAACCTGGTATCCAAGAAAGGGTATTTTTCTTTTTCCAAAGGCCTAATTGAATCATTTTCTGTGGTTATATTGAGGTTGTGCAGGCTGATTTTGGCTGGTGCAGAATAAATTGAGTGTGATGATGTTGGGGAGCACATGCTGTACAAAAGTGATGTATTTTGTACAGTGTAAGTCCTTGTATTTGTACAATTTAAGTCTTTGATTAATGGGAAATAAAATGTAAATTATTTAGTTGGTAAATGCAGTCTTTTCAACAGTCAAAATATTTTTTAAATATTAAATCTTTGAGGAATATGGAAATAACATAATTCAGGTTCACAATCCTTTATCTAAAACCCCTGGGACCAGACATGTTTTGGAATTCAGAAATTTGGAGAGGAGGGTTAGAACAGAACTAGGATGCCAAGACTACATATTACATAACTTCTTTAATGGGGTCTTGATCAACACCATTTAACTGAACAAATTTCTCCAATGAAACACACAAACAGTCACCCTAGTGGATGAAAGAAAGATTGAATAGCCTCATGATGGTTCTGACTGGGATGTGTAGCCAGATGAGTTTGAAACAAATTTACAAAAAAAAAAAAAAAAAAGGAAAAAACAAACTACAAAGTTTTTTGATTTCTGAATCATGGGTAAAGGATCATGGACCTGTATTACTAATCATTTGTTGAGCAATTACTATGTGCCAGCTTTAAGGTAGTGCCATTTACATTAACTGACTGATATGGTTTGGCTCTATGTACCCACCCAAATCTCATGTTGAATTGTAATCCCCAATGTTGGAGGTCAGCCTGGTGGGAGGTGATTGGATCACAAGAGTGGTTTCTAATGGTTTAGCACCCTCTCCCTAGTGCTGTCTTGTGATAGAGTTATCAGATCTGGTTGTTTACAAGTGTGTGGCCCCTTCCCCTTCTCTCTCATCCTCCTGCTCTGGCCACGTAAGACTTACCTGCTTTCCTTTTGCCTTCTGCCATGAAAGTTTCCCATGGCCTCCCCAGCCATGCTTCCTGTACAACCTTAGGAACCTTGAGCCAATTAAACCTCTTTTATTTATAAATTATCCAGTTTCAGGTATTTCTTTATAGCAGTGTAACAGACTAATACGCTAACCTTTGTGAATAACTCAGCAAGAAGTTAAATGTTATATATCACTTAGAAACTAGGAAGATAAGGCAGGAATATCTTCAGTGGGTTGTCAGGGTCACAGAAGTGGGGTTTGAAACCGGTTCCTTCTGGTTCCAAAGGCAAAAGACAATGTTTCCTCACCACTGGGTCAAGACCTTTGGTTAGTGTGATTATTTGCCTCTGTTGCCTTAGCACTTAAAAAAAAAAGTCCTGAGAATTTGATTAAGATCTCTTTTCTCATCCTTGACGGTCTCTCTGGGAAAGTTTATACAATGATCACTTATAAGTTAATGACACCCAGATGGGTCTGCACCCCCATCCTGAGTATCACATTTAGAAATCCGACTCGCTACTGGACATCTCCATGTACTTCCTGATGTACTCTCAATGGAACTAATCATTTTTCTCCTCAACCCTTCTCTGCCTTCCAGCATTGCCTATTCCACTATCTCAGTTACCCCTAAGACAAAAACTTTTTTTAAATTTTTTATTGGATTTTAGGTTTTGGGGTACATGAGCAGAGCATGCAAGACAATTGCGTAGATACACACATGGCTGTGTGCTTTGCTTTGCTTTTCCCCTTCACCCACATTTGGTATTTCTCCCCAGGCTATCCCTCCCCACCTTCCCCTCCCACTGGCCCTTCCCTTTTCCCCCCAATAGACCCCAGTGTTTAGTACTCCCCTTTCTGTGAAAAATCTGGAGACAAAAACTTTTTTTCTTCTCTCCCTTTCCAACTCTGTCTATGACTAAGACCTGTGGGTGTGGCACTGGAAATCCTCGTAGAGGAGACTGGGTGCTTTTGCGCTGTAGTAATTCAATTTTACCAATGAGAAAACTCAGGTTCTTTCTGCATACCCAGACAGTGCATATAAAGCAAAGGTTCTGACCAACTTTGACTAGCCAAAATAGTCCAAATCCCATCTACCTGCCCAATGATAAACTACTAAGTATTGAACTGTAAGATAACGCTTTTTTTTTTTTTTTTTTTTTGAGACGGAGTTTTGCTCTTGTTACCCAGGCTGGAGTGCAATGGCGCGATCTCGGCTCACCGCAACCTCCGCCTCCTGGGTTCAGGCAATTCTCCTGCCTCAGCCTCCTGAGTAGCTGGGATTACAGGCACGCGCCACCGTGCCCAGCTAATTTTTTGTATTTTTAGTAGAGACGGGGTTTCACGATGTTGACCAGGATGGTCTCGATCTGTTGACCTCGTGATCCACCTGCTCCGGCCTCCCAAAGTGCTGGGATTACAGGCTTGAGCCACCGCGCCCGGCCCATGACACACTTTTTATTCTAGGCTGCTCTATGTTGTTAAGCTTCATTTGAGGCATTTGGGTGCGTGTGCTGTGATACTGAGTAGCAAACTAGACAACACGGTTTCCAAGAACAATGCTCTAGCCTCCCACACTTGATGGGAATTTGGGTAGGATGATAAAAAGGGGAAGTAACAGCCATGATGTTTTCATTCCCATCACTAGGTAAAACGCCAAGCCTGAAAGTGCACATCAATACCACAAGTGACTCCATCTTCTTGAAGTTCCTGCGTCCAAGTCCAAATGTAAAGCTTGAAGGTCTTCTCCTGGGATACGGCAGCAATGTATCACCAAACCAATACTTTCCCCTCCCCGCGGAAGGGAAGTTCACCGAGGCCATAGTGGGTAAGGTGTTTGGGTATCGGGCTGGGAAGGCAAGGAGGTAAGAGGTGGTGGCTGGAATATGATCTACAAATCTTGATGTTAAGAACTATTTCTTCTACCTCCTTAACTTAATCAAATGGCAGCATTACAAGTCATCTTCATAAGTATTGTAACTCATAGCATAATTCTTTACATTAAAAATTATTTCATCCAGAAACAGTCATATTCATTGTCCCTGGTCATATACCTTAAAAATTCATAAGGAAAAAAATAACTGAAATGTCTGGGATTAAATCTCTGTAACATATTTTACGTGTACTAGTTTTCCTTCCTGCTGTATCTTACCATCTTTTGATAGATTACATCTCCAGTGTTTTGAGTGTCTTTTCATGAAAAGCTGCATTTTTAAAAAAGGAAGTGTATTATATTTTTAAAAACATAGAGTATTTCAAAGAAAATTATTAAAGTTTTTGTATGTATTATACAATTTTATATTTCTTCAAAAATGTTTTAAATCATGTTAAAATGTAAATTGAGAATGTGGGTCACTTTTGAGTCTTCTCCAGAAAAATTATTTGCAAATAAAACCATTTAAGAATAATTTTTTTTTTTAAGCTGGGCACAATGGCTCACATCTGTAATCACAGTACTTTGGGAGGCTGAGGTGGGTGGATCACTCGAGCTCAGGAATTCTAGACCAGCCTGGGCAACATGACAAAATCCCCTCTCTACAAAAAATGCAAAGCTAGGCGTAGTGGTTCACGCCTTGTAGTCCCTGCTACCTGTGAGGCTAAAGTGGGAGGATCTCTAGAGCCCAAGGAGGTTGAGGCTACAGTGAGCCATGATAGGAACACTGCACTCCAGCTTGGGCAATGGAGTGAGACTCTGTCTGAAAAATAAATAAATAAATAGATAGATAATTTTGAAAAGGATCTTCTATTGTTGTGAATGCTCTTAAAGCCTTTCTGAATAGTCTAATATGAGGTTTATATTTTGTTTCACATCTAAAATTATTGCTTAGGAGCTTTCCGGTGAGTTTCAGAAGTGTTACCCTATAAATTCAATTACTTTATATCAGCTCTGATAATCTGCAGGGAATGTTGAAGATGAATCTTTTTGTCCTGTAGGCTCTTGTTTCTCATAGAGAAGACTCGGTTGGACTTCAAAATCAGGCAATAGAATAATATTGTTAATTAAGTGTCTAGACTAGATTTTACATAAGACAATCACTTTAAAGTAAACCTACTAGTTTGTTACCAAAAACCTGAGAATTAAGCATTTCTGACAAATGTAATAACACTAATCTTGACCACAAAACCCACAAAGAATCTCCACTCTATTCACTCTTTACTATGAAAAGTGACTGGAAGCGGTGTGTTTGCCCCACACACATAGAAACAGAGGCCTTATTACCCCCTTTTTTAAAATCATTGAGTATTAGGAGTAATATTTAATTTATGATAGTTTTTTTTGTTATATAAATTGAAAATTTGGTCAGTTGTAAGCTCTTTTTCCATATGAGGTGAAAAGTGTTCAGTCTTAAAGTAATAGTCAAAGTATCACTGATAAAAAAATATGTTCAGAAAACTACAGAAAGTTTGTTGCACAGATATTTTAACCTTTCACTGTTTCTATGATGACAGTTGATTAAATGGACTAGGGACACTTTTATTTATTTATTATTGTGTTCATTCTTTAAAGATTTGTTATCATGGGAAATTTCAGACAACTCAGGAAAGAGTATTAAAATGAACCCTCATATGTCAGCATGCAGTTTGAATATGTATCGCTGTTTTGCTAACCTTGTTCCGTGTATTCTTTCATACATACTATATTCATTGCTTAACCAGTATTTAATGCATAACTAGGTATCACATTTCTTGATCTAAAAATGTTTCAGTATGCATCTCTAACAGATAAGAAATATTTTTAATAACACTATGCCTTTATCACATTCTAACAATAATGCCATAATGTCATTTTATACCCTAGTCCATATGTACATTTCTCTGGTGATCTTCAAATGTCTTTTTAGAGTTGGTTTGTATGAATCAGGATCCAAACAGGCCTATATGACACATTTGATTTTGCCTTTTAAGTGTCTTTTATTCTGTAACAATCCTCTTACCTTCTCTTTTTAAATGTCATTGATTTCTAGAGAAATTGGGTCATTTATGACAGAGAATGTTCATATTCTGTGTGACAGAATATGGAACTGGTTGCTTCCATTCTGTATTTTTGCACCTCCTCTATCCCCTGTGGATCCTATGAAGATGTATTTAGATCTAGAGGCCGTATTAGCTTTGAATTTGGGGGAAAGGGGAAATGTGGTACTTTATAGGTGGTATTATGTATTTCCTAATGAATCACAAAAGGAGGTGCATCATGGCTGCCTGCCCCATTTAGTAATCCTAAGACTGGTGATTAAGTGGTCTCAGCCTTGTCTCTCACAATAAAATTCTCCATCAAATTTATCTAATGGTTTTAGCATCTGTTGATCATTGCCCATATCTATTATTTCATTCAGGAGTTATATAATAGCAATTTTCTCATTCTGTTATTCTTTCTGCCTATTTTAGCCAATGACAAAGAAGAAATTTCTCTCATCTACTTAGTTCCCATATATATTGGTTTTATTATGTTGGTGCAAAAGTTATTGCAGTTTTGCCATAAATTTTCACTGTTAAAAGTTCATGTCCTGCGTATTTCCAAAGATGATCAGCATTTGTTGGTTTTTCTTTAGGGACAATAAGAATGCATTGATTTTTATATATCTAATGGGTTTTTATCAATATATCACCTATCTATGCCTTATGATTCCTTTGGTCTAGCTTGAATATGCTTGGTTATTTACTTTGGTTAACTATAATACTGAAAACTTCTTAAAGGCAAACTTATGTCTTATTCCTTGGTTATTTGTATCAAGATAATTTACAGTGAATAAATTGGCACTAAACATTTGTGCCACAGAATTGAATAGACTTCAGTCTGTAGAGAATACTTAGGCTGGAGGAGGACATGAGAGATTGTTTAATCTAAGTTCCGTCATCAGGCAAGTAGCTATTTAAGTAATTTAAGGCAGATAAAATAGGTCACTGTGCATCTCAAAGAACCTAGGGGCAAACATTCCATAACTCCTAGAAGGCTATTCCAATTAGTATTTTAAAAACTCTTACCTCGTATTGTAGATCAATATTCTTTTTATTAATCCCCTTTCTCTTCTAGTAGTCTAGTGGAAACGAAAAAACATTCCTCATACATATTTCCTTTTCCATTTTTCTTTAAGCCAAGGAATGAGTGTGCTTCTGCTTTTATTACTTCAGAAATGAACTTTTGTTCCAAGTTTAATGTTAGTTTTTGGTTGTTTAAATTGGTTATTTATAGTCTTCTGTGACTATGTTTGCATTAGTTGCTCCTAATTGATTAAGCAGCCATAAATTAGTTCCTGATGCTGCTAAAACAAATTAATACAAATTCAGTGGCTCAAACATTACAACTTTATTATCTTGCAGTTATAGGTCAGAAATCCAACATGGGTCTCACTGAGCTAAAATCAAGGTGTGGGCAGAGCTGCATTCCTTTCTGGAGGCTCTAGGGGCAGAATCTGGTTTTTTGTCTTTTCCAGCTTTTAGAGGCTACTGCATTCCTCACCTTGAAGTTAACAACAGTGGGTCACACCCTTCTCTCACATGACATGACATGACATCACATCACATCACATCAATCCCATCACATCACATCAATCCCATCCCATCACATCACATCAATCCCATCCCATCCCATCACATCACATCAATCACATCAATCATGTCCCATCCCATCACATCAATCACATCAATCCCATCAATCCCATCCCATCACATCACATCAATCCCATCCCATCACATCAATCCCATCCCATCCCGTCACATCACATCACATCACATCCCATCCCATCACATCACATCAATCACATCACATCACATCACATCACATCACATCACATCACATCACATCACATCACATCACATCAATCACATCACATCACCCTGGCCTCCTTTCCTGCTTTCCTCTCTACTTTTATGGACCCTTGTGATTGTAGTAAACTCATCTGGATAATCCAAAATACTTTGCCTATTTTAAAATCAGCCGATTAGCAATAGTAATTCTGTCTGCAACCTCAATTCTCCCTTGTCATGCAACCTCACATCTTCACAGGTTCTGGGGATTAGGAGGTAAGCAAGCTTTGTGGGGGGCATTATTCTGTCTGCTACAAGCTGTTTAACATTTACACCTCTATTTGATTCCCTTTCTGATATCAGTTTACTGTGTGATAAATCTCAACTATGCTCATCTGTAGCAGGTGTATTTTTCACAGACAGGCTGCGGGCGGTTTAGTGTACTTATAACTATAAAGTGATGAATTAAAGTCCCTTGAGTACAAAGTGCTATAAAAAGAAAAGAATTTTTATTACTTTATGGAAAAAAAAACAGCATCACTTTCAGCTCCCGCTCTTACTTTCTTTTGCAATAAGGTAGTAGCATGTTTTTCAGTTGCATGGAACTATACCCAAACACAGTAAGTTACCCTCAGTTTCAAAACAAATATTAAGTATCATCTCATCTGACACATTTAATAATGTTTACCATCATTTTTCATTTTACCATTGAAATGAGAAGATGTTATTATTCAGAAATATTCAAGCTAACATTTAGTGACCCGTGGACTAGGACTCCCTCTAAGTAATCATTTACAACCATTTTTATATTTACTTTTATATCTACCTATTATCTTTCTATTTATTAAGTATTGACAGAGATGTTTTCAGATCACTTACTGGTTTTCCATGCAAAAGTAAACAAAATCCTCCTTTTGCCATTTTGGAAATTAATATTTATATGAAATTTCTATAAAAATTGATCTAAGATTGTACTCTATTGCAGGGGGCAGTAGGAAAAATACTATTTTCCCAGGTGGCTATTAGTAAATATTAATGGCCTCAGAGCCCTGCAACATTGTGATAAAACATGATTCACATTTA